TGGCGACGGAGCTATGATGATCCGAACTATAAGGGAATCTAGGGCGGGAAATCTTATACTGGAGACCAATGGCGAGGAAACTGCATCCAAGCTTGTGGAGAAGCTGCAAACCCTTAAAGCCAGGGCCGTCAGGGACTCTGGAGGTGCAGAGGTGGTAGGGATGGACGCGCTGGCGACCAAGGAGGAGGTAGGAGCGGCACTGAGAGAGGCACTGGGAGCGGAAGTGGAGCTGACGGTGACCGCCATGAGAGCCACGTATGGCAGAACACAGGCCGCAAGGTTCTCAGCTAGCAAGGCTGCTATTGCCAAACTGGTGGAACTAGGACGCATCAAAATAGGGCCGGTAAATTGCAGGGTGAGGGAGATTGCGGAGGACAACAGATGCTACAGGTGCCAGGAACCTGGACATCGGGCATCGGAATGCAAGGGACCGGATAGGTCAAATTGCTGCTTCCGGTGTGGGCAGACGGGACACAGGGCAAAGGATTGTGTTGGCGCGAAGAGATGCCTGAGGTGCAACAGGAGTGGGCACAGGACGGGCAAATGCGCAATCCCCATAGCGGCGGAAGCAGCTGCGGAGATAGGCGGGGTGACTGAGGTCTGGCAGGCGCCTGAGGACAGGCAGGATTTTCAGCAGGCCCCCGCCCAGTACGCCGCAACAGCGTAGCAGATTTTGACGGAGATGAGCGGGGGGTCAGCAGTATTAGATTTATGCAGGCAAACCAGAACAGAAGCCGCGCAGCATGGGATCTGGCCCTACAAGCTGTGGTGGAGCGCAAAATTGACGTCCTGGTGGTGACGGAGCCTAATAGAGCCAAGGCGAAAGCAATGAGCGCTGCCACGGACCTGCGAGGAGACGTGGCCATCATAGCGTTCAATGGGCATAGGCTGGCGAAGGTCGTAAGAAAGGAGAGCCTGTTGAGCGTCTGGATTGAAAATGTGCAGCTGATAGCAGGATATGCATCGCCAAATATAGCGCTGGCACAATTTGGGACGTTCCTAAGGTGCCTGGAGGAGACGGCCAGGGCACGGGCGGAGCATCAAATCGTTTGCGGGGATTTTAATGCAAAAGCACCACAATGGGGAGGTCCCCGAGAAGATGCGAGAGGGACAGCACTGTTGGACACCTTCGCTGCGTTGGATCTGCACGTGATCAACACGGGGCTGGTTCCAACTTTCGCCAGAGGAAACAGTGCATCCTTTCTTGACGTCACCGCCGTGACCCTGTCGCTGGCTGGAGCTGTGGAGGAATGGAAGGTGCTGGAGGAGGAAAACCTAAGTGACCACCGGGACATCCTCTTTTCGGTAAATACAAGGCGGCGATTGACAGGAGTGGTGCGTCCTCGATGGAGGGCGTCGCAGCAAGAGAGACACAGCTTCTGCCAGCTGATGCGGGAGCATGCTGATAGGAGAGAAGGCTCGGTGGAAGTGGACCAGTGGACCGGAGCCATCACAGACGTCTCCTCCCGGACGCTTAAAATGACAGGCCACCACCCGCGAAGAAGACCAAAATACTGGTGGACGGAGGAGATCGACAGGAAGAGGAGCGAATGCACGGCTGCCCGCAGACAGCTAACAAGGGCGAGAGGCCGTGGGGAGGCCCCTGGCGGCATCGAGGACCTGACCAATGCGCTCCGGCTGTGCAGGAAAGCACTTAAACGTGTCATATCCTGCTCCAGGGAGCGATGCTGGAAGGAGCTACTGGCGGAGCTGGACAAAAATGCGTGGGGACAAGCCTACCAGATCGTGGCTAGGAAATTTGGAGCCAAAGCCCCCAAAATGGACGGAGCGGAGCAGGAAAGATGGGCTAGATCCTTCTTTCCAGTGGCAGAGCCCATGAACTGGGGCGGTGGGAGACCCCAACTGGAGGATGTTCCGATGGTGACTACGGAGGAAGTCCAGAGGGCAGGAAGGCGAATAACGGCAGGAAAGGCACCGGGGCCCGGGGGTATACCGCCAGAAGCGGTGAAATGGGCGGTGGAGGCCGCGCCCGAATGGGTGGCCGCCGTTTTTACAAACCTCCTGAGAAACGGAGCATATCCACGGGAATGGAAGGCTGCCAAGTTGGTACTCATACCGAAAGCCACATCGACGGGCGAGGAGGCATACAGGCCGCTGTGCTTGATGGATGTGCAGGGAAAGCTGTATGAACAGGTACTGGTGGCCAGAATACGGCAGGAACTGGAGGCGGGGGAAGACCTGTCGGACCGACAATTTGGCTTTAGACCGGGCAGGTCGACCGAAACAGCGTTGAGGGCCTTAGGTGATATCGTGAATAAAGTGCGCAGGGTGTCTTACTCGCACAGAAAGATATGCGCCCTAGTGACCCTCGACGTTAAAAATGCTTTTAACACAGCTCCCTGGATGGCCATTATGAGGGAGCTGAACAGACGGGGTTTATCCGGCTATCTAGTGGAGGCAGTAGCAGCGTACCTGCGAGACAGGGTGGTCGAACTGGAAGAGGGGAGGACAATACCAATGTCGTGTGGAGTGCCACAGGGGTCAGTGCTAGGCCCCCTGCTTTGGACCATTATGTACGACCCGGTCCTGAATGTGGCAGTGCCTGAGGGAATCACTCTTCTGGGGTATGCCGATGATCTGGCAATGGTTGGAGTTGGCAGGACACCGCAGGAGGTCAAAGATAGGCTGAACGCAGCCCTGGAGAGCGTGGGCGCGTGGATGAGAGACACGGGTCTCAGTCTCGCTGCACATAAGACTGAAGTGGTGATCCTGGCGGGAAATAGGCGGATGCAGCAGCTGGAGCTAAATGTGGGAGGATGCAGAGTCCAGTCCTCACCGGCCCTCAAGTACCTTGGGGTATGGATAGGGCAAGGCTGGACCATGGGAACGCACGTTTTGCGGACGGCAGCCAAGGCGGAGAAGAAGGCAAATAATATTGCGCGGTTAATGCCCAACGTAGGCGGCCCGAGAGCCGGGGTGCGAAGGCTGATATGCAGCGCCGGGGCGTCGCTGATGTTGTATGCTGCTTCTTTCTGGGTGGGCGCCCTGAAACATCGAAAGTACAGGGACGTGGTCAACAGGCTGCAAAGAAGGATGGCACTCCGGATCTGCAGCGCCTATCGCACCGTATCGGGCGCAGCGGTCATGGTGGTGGCAGGAATACTTCCGATGGATATACTAGCGGAAGAAAGAGCGGCACGGTTCAATGCCGGGGTCAGTGCCAGTGACGCCAGGGAGGCCTCTTTGTTGAGCTGGCAGGAGAGATGGCAGAGCGAGACGGTGGGAGCGTGGACAAGGAGACTCATCCCCGAGCTGGCCCCCTGGTATACCAGGAAGCATGGTGAGGTTGACTACTTCCTCACCCAAATCCTCACCGGACACGGGGCTTTCGGGGCATATCTGCACAGGTTCCACAGAAGGGACTCACCGGCATGTCTTGACTGTGGGGAAGAGTACGACACGGTGGAGCATGTCGTCTTCTTCTGCCCCAGATGGGTAAGAGAGAGGACAGCCGCCTGGATTGCAGTGGGGAGGCAAGTGACACCGGAGCACCTGGTGCCAACCATGTTGAAAGGGGAGAGTGCATGGAGGGAAATCGCGGGCCTGGCGGCAGCGGTAATGAAAGGAAAGGACGCAGCAGATGCGGCGCGCGGCTGAGAACGGAGCTTCCGTGGCCTGCCAGAAGTAATGCCGAGAGGCGGTTTCCTGGCAGGGGGCACCACGAAGAGAGGACAGGGTTTTAGTGGGTCGGAGAAATCCATCCCCACACTCCTTCGGTCGCCAGAACATCAATGACCGGAGGGTCTGGCTAGCAGATTTCCCAAACCTCTATAAAAAAAAAAAAAAAAAAAAATATACTATACCCAATTTAATTTCAGGACGTCCCATGGACGTCCAAGGTACGTCAGAAATGGGATATCCTAAACTGGCCCGGACAGACCCAATCAGGATGTCCTTGGGAGGTCATGTGCTATTTGGGTTATTACTATAATATAAAGACTGATTTATAGATTCCTTCCTCCCTAGTGCCGTTTATAGATTCCCGTACGGGATTGTATTGTTATCTTCTACGGCAGGAAGGAAGGAAGGAAATCTATAAATCAGGATTAAATGTTTAATTTTTCTTATTTTAAAAATTTAGGAAAAACTATTTAAAAAAATAATTGTATTTTTTTTCTTTATTTCGTTTTAAATTAATTAAAATACTTTTAAATCTTAAATAAAATTATGTTTTATAAATGCGCACGCGTGTCACTAATATTATTGCGGTTGGAACAGATAAATTTCTGTGGGTTGGAACCACATATTTAGAGTTCTCTAAATATGTAGCTGGAACCACAATCCACACAACAAGGTCTGTTCCACAATCCATGTTGTGTGGATTGTGGTCTGTTCGATCTTCTTAAAATACGAACGAAAATCGGTACTGTTATGCGCACATACGGCTACCGACATATTTGATTTATTTGCCGCCGTTAATTTAAATTACTCAAAATAGTAATTCTGTCTAACAGGCATGGAAGAAGTAAACAAAGTTTTTTTTAAGTTTCTTTAGTACTAAATAAATAAATTTATATATAAATAGGAGAAACATTTTACCATAGTTTTACTTACCGGTTAAACAATATTTTTTGCAACATATACACAAGTACACTGGTACAGTCAACAAAATCCACAATAATCCAATAAAATAACAGAAGCACACTAACAAAAGAAGAATTTTTAAACACTAACCAAAGTACTTTACACTATAATCCACAATAATAAAGAACAAAACCAAACAACTATAACAAATCCGCATAAAACATCACAATAATTGCAAACAATGAAATTGTAAACAATAAAAATGGCGACTAACGTAGGAATGTACACTAGGTTGCCTACTTTTGTGATTTTTAACATGCGCGAATAAAGATCGAACAGACCTTGTTGTGTGGATTGTGGCTGGAACGAGCCTATTATTTTTAAAAGTAGGGAATTTAAGGGATTTTTAAAGCGACTATGTTGGCAACACTGTTTAGTTTATTGGTAGCATTGGTAGGTGTAACTTCAAGTTTAGTAGATTCTATATTTATGTTTGCTATTTTTAAACAGTATACTATAGTTGAATAAGGTCAGATAATTATTTTATTTTATTGGAATACAATGTCAAAAGTAAACGATAGAGCCCCAAATTACCAAACGTATAAGTTAGTTATAGTCGGAGGTGGAGGTGTTGGAAAATCTGCAATAACTTTGCAATTTATTCAGGTAATTGACCATTTTTACGATATCCAATGTCCTTCTGTTGATTAAAGACAATTGAAATATTATATTTTATTTGTTATTTCCATAAGTCACTACAGATGAATTTTTCTAACCTACTTTTCTTAATATGGTGTTTTATGATTAGGAACCTTGTGAAAACCTACACATAACATTTGAAAATTTAGAAAATAATTATTAAGTAATGGGTGTTTACCTATATTTGTTTTAGAGTTATTTTATTCCTGACTATGACCCCACAATAGAAGACTCATACACAAAACAATGTGTGATAGATGAAATACCAGCAAAATTAGATAGTAAGTAATTATATACTTTGTTTATAAAACGCGTAAATTTTGACACTTGTATTAATTTATTAAAAAGTCTAGAGAATTATTTTGTTTTAAGCATTAATTGAACTCCTGTATAATATACAGGAGTTCAATTAATGCTTAAAACAAAATAATTCTCTAGACTTACATATTTCCTACTTTTAGTCCTATTAATTCTCTAGACTTACATATTTCCTACTTTTAGTCCTTGATACTGCTGGTCAAGAAGAATTCAGTGCAATGAGGGAACAGTACATGAGGTCAGGTGAGGGATTCTTACTGGTTTTCTCAGTGACAGAAAAGTCCAGTTTTGAAGAAATCTACAAATTCCACAAACAAATTCTTCGTGTAAAAGACAGAGATGAATTTCCAATGCTGATGGTGGGAAATAAGGTAAGTAAATAATTGTTGTGTCATTGAATTTTGAGTTATTTTAAGATTATATCCAGCAGGTGTTTTGTGCATATTTTTAGAACCAAGGATTAGCATGAAATCATTGTTTTTTTAATTGGAATTTTGTTACATGCCAAAAAGAAATAAATATTAATTTCTATGAGAAATTAATTGAAAGGTTGTTGGGTAAATAAGTACTGTAGGTCTGTAACTTTAAAAAATGTAATTACAGTAAAAAAATCTACTCCTATTGCATAATATTGTTTTTTTTTTGTGAAAAATGATAAACATTATAATTTCCCTTACTTTGATAGGCATCAGTGATTGGCTGATTTCAATATTTACTGTGATTTAAACCAATTTGGTTTTAAATTGGGAGAAGGCGACTATAATATCATTAAAAATTGGTAAATTGTTAATTTGTTTTTTTAATCATTTAATTTTCTATTTATTGGAGTAGTTATTACACTCGAGATTATGCGCAATGTTCCTCGGACCTTATCCTCATGAATAATAGTCTGCATTATCTCTCATATAATAATATACTACCTATATTTAATGGGTGAAAAAAATTAATTTAAATTTTTAAGTAAGGAAGAGAGTGTAATCAGAATGTTAAAACAAATGTAAACCAAAATTGAATTAAAGGTGGGTTTATGCAGACTTAAGACTTAAAACTTAACATTTAAGACTTAAGAATTAAAAATTAAGCGAACATTTTGTGGCGTTCATGCAGCATTTATCTTAAGACTTAAAACTTAAGGAGTAACCAATCAAAATCGATAAAAATATCACGTGGTATCAAGTTGGTACTACCTACATTAAAATGACAATTAACATTGAAATTTTACCGTTGTGTTTTGCGAATGCGTATATTTTTGTTTATCAACGTTTTTTATAATCTGTGTTTACTAGTTTAATCTAAAATGGATCCAAACTATCTATCATTTTAGCACAGTAATTTCAAGAAAAACATGAAACACGAATTTTTAAATTTTCAGTTACAACAACCATAGAAAAAGAAATTTAATTTAAAATTCCCTAGTTAACGCTTGCGCAAATGCGACTTCATGTAAGAATTAAAAATGAAGACTTAAGAAAGATAAAAGTTTATTATCTTTCAAGGTCATTTTTCTTAGTTCTTAAATGTTAAGTCTTAAGTCTTAAATGTTGCATAAACGACCTTAAAGGAAATCAATGAAATAACCTAACTTTTAACTTCTTAATTGTTAAATGTTAAGTCTTAAGTTTTAAGTCTGCATAAACCAGACATAAAGAATTCACGAACATTTTTAGGTTATGTCAAAGGAGAAACGTCAAAACTTTGACTATAAAGTTGTTTTTCATCCGTTTTTATCACCCACAATCCACACAACAAGGTCTAAAAATACTAAAAATCACTGCAACAGTGCACATCATACAATGACGGCCATTTTTGTTGTTTACAATTCTTGTGCTTTGGGTTTGTACAGATTAATAATCGTTTTAAACGTTGTGTTTCTTACAGAGAGACTTGCAAGCCTTAAAAGAGACCTAAAAGTAGTAAGAACAATCATTTTACTCCTCTTTTGTAAAAAATAAACCTTATTCTATCAGGGCTGTGAAATGTCAATTTGAAAGTTAATTTGTGGGTTATAAGATAACCTTCAAAAACTTTCGTTTTTAATTCACAGTGACTAGAGGCACGCTAACGTACCGCGATTGAAAATATTAAAGGCACGTTAGTTACGTCATAATTATAATCCGTTTTTGTTCCCCGAGCGTTTAATATTTGACATCAAGCTAGATAGCTCATATGGTAGGGCGTTCGCTTGGCATGCGAGAGGTCCCGGGTTCGATATTAAGAAGTTGTCGAACTTTTTTTATTTTTTTATTTCATAAATTTGTTGTTCCTTTGTTAAAAAGTGTTTTATTTTTATCGTAACATAAATTTGCCCATTTTAGTTGGGTTTTTTGTTCAATGGGGCGGGGGGGGCCAATGGGGCGGGGTCGGTTGGGTTGTGTTGTTGAGTTTGGGATGGTTTGGGTTTATGACGTAAATAACGTGCCTTTAACATTTCAAATCGCGGCACGTTAGCGTGCCTCTAGTCACAGCGTTTTTAATTACACGTTTTGCATACATTTTATTATATTAAATATGTTGCAAGGAGAAGTCGACTACTGCTCGTTTCAGATTCTGTAAATACCTTTTATGCTCAATCATATTGTTTTTATATTGACTCTAATATTTTTTTTAAAATATGTAATGGATTGCCTTACCAGATTGTTCTGACCATATGCCAAGAACACTTCTACCCAAATAAGTTAAACACTGAGATAAATGTTTTAAAATTACATGAATTTTTAATGTCTCAGTAACTCCTGTACTATAAAAAGATGTTTCCAATTCTTTAACAAATTTCTCGCAATCGGAATCTACTTGCCTAGTAGAAAAACAAGCGTTGACAAGTTTATCCTTGGCCTTAAAGGAAGAAATGAACGGTACTAATTTTAAAGGTTCAATTTTGCCACAAATTTCGGGTTTTAAAAGTTTATCAGGATGCTTTAATAGTTTTCTACATGCGTTGCCTTCAAAAGCTTCAAATCCTTTCCAGAAAAGATGGTTCACAAAACCCATCATAATATATAATTCTGGAATTATGCATTTTTGCAGCACACAGGTGTCATCTTTATCAAACAATGGTGCATTCACAGTACTATGGCACTCTTTTGCAAGCGTTTTATATTTTTTCAGGGCAACAAACTTTTTGTAATCTTTTCGCAAATTACCAAAAGTTTTCATCTCAGATACCTCAGAATCGGTCACCTCAGATAAAGTTGACGTGCTTGGCAAGGTACCATTTACTTCTTTATTACTTCTTAAGCTTTGTAGTGGCACAAAACAATATGGACAGGGAAAGGAAGCTGTGGCTGTTTGCTGTCCATTTAATAATAATTTGAAATCACACACAAACTTGTACGGTATATCGTTCAGTTTCTTTAAATCAAATATGAGCTTGACATTGTCATATGTTTCTTTTATGTCTGGAACCACACATAATATTATTAATTTATGAACACTAGTATTTTTTCTTCTATCACCTGAAAATAGTTCTTCGTTTAAGTAACCTTCAGGAAGTATAGTCATACTGAGCTTAAAAAGTCCTTGCCCAGTATCAGCCATTACTTTAATAAGAATGTTACCAATAATACAACGACGTTCTATTACCCTATCTAATAAATCAGTAGCATTTGCCCTTACAACTGGTCTCTTTTGCTTGTAAATTTTATCAATACCAGTATCAAATTTAAATATTCCTTCGCTGAATCTAACGTCTTAGATTTTTCGGACAAATGCTTTATAATATGAGCAGGTACTGATTTTTTCCAACTCTACATCTCAGGAGGTTATTCAATTTTTTCATGTTATACAAAGATAATCCATTAATGGTTCGAAAATCATCCAAGCTCTGCAATAAACGACTTCGAAATATGGCATTGTAATTTACCCAACGTGAAGTTAAGTTTTGAACCTCTTGTACTTAATGATAATTCATTAATTTTTTCACTTTGTTTACTTATTCCATTTTTTTTTTAAGAAATCAGTGAGAATTTGTTCTTGATGTTTTTGTGGTAGTTGTTCTATGAACTTATTTAGATTTTCTTGAGCACTTATCTTATCACAAGTATGTTGTTTTCCTTTACAGGTATTAGGTCTAATGTAGTAAAACAATTTTTACATATCTTAATCAATTGTGATGCTTTATCCTGACTTTGTTTGGAGAAGTTTTTACATAAAACAGTGCCAAATAATTCGTTAGATTCATTGATTTTATTTGATAATTTTCGCTTACGACCAGCACCCATTTTAATTTTTTTGTGTCCATTGTATCTTGCATTTAAACATATGTAGCAGTTACACAAATCGCCAGTAGCTCGTGTAGATTTAGTAAGATGTATATCCTTATAATTGGGCATTTTTTGCAAAGGCCGTTTAAAAATTCCTTTTTCGTGTTCAGTAAGCGTTAGCGTACATGTAATGCAAACACTTACCGGGAAATGGGAATCCGTAATATTAAAATCAGGGTTAACCAATTTTTTAATTAGGTTTTCATATCTTGTAGTTATTGAAAAGAATTTTAACTTTTTTTTTCCTAACACAATTTTTTTTTTACAAGGTACACAAATTTTAACTCTATTTTCTTCGTGCAGACTTTTAGGAGGCATAGTTTAAACATAAAAGTATATACTCCGATTCGCAATAGAAAATTGTAATTATAATGATCTAATATGTTCAATATTATTTAATTAACAACAAGTAAACTATTATTTTAGTAACCGATTAACGTTAACGTTTGTTGACATTTGGTTTCATTGTTAGACGTAGTTGTCAATCTCTTTTGATAGACCTGTCACTTTTCACACATCAACGTCACTTTTTATTCAAGTTTTGCCTTGTAAATGAAAAGATTCATTTTTTAGCAACGACACCATAAAAAAATGTGACTTTTACTTAGTGGTCCTATAATAAGAAACTTTCAAGTGAACCCGAGCAGCTAGGATTCTAATCCAAACGGATTTTATTACTGTGGACGAATACAATTCAATCCCTATTTACCGATTTTGTCCTCATTTTATTCAAACCTATTCGAGCCAGGAGCCTGGTGTGAATTATTATTATTTATTTATTATTATAAAATAGGCTGAGAATAAATATTTTTGTGCTAAGCTCAACTTTTGAAGGCCGACGCGTTAGTGGAGACCTACAATTGTGCGAGCACAAAGAGACACTTCTCAGTTGAATGGCACATTGTATCTTTAAACCAATTTTTTTGTTAAAGGAATCATAAAACGTGAGTTTAGATAGCTTCAAGCTGTCAACAGTTATCGAATTTTATTATTGGTCCTAACGGGTTTTGATACAGACTAAATTGATAAAAACTTCACCTAATTGGTCTTATTATTTTTATAGCCTAAGAGATAATTGAATACTTTGATAGGGAGCGTTGACAATAATAAAGCTTTAAAAAAAGAACGATAAATAATTTTTTTAATACCTGGCAGTTAATACGTTAATTATATGCTTTAATAGGTATATCTGTAAAATAATAAAATACAAATTAAGGTGGATGTGGTTAACTGGGCCACCGGGGCAATTGGGCCACCATGCTTTAGTAATTTTGTGAAAAGCTTTAGTGATATTTATGATGGTAAAGTTGGTTGCTATGCACCTGAAGTTGCATATGCAAATGTTAGAAATCCACCATTGCGACTTAGGTTTGCCGCGGAAACCATTTTGTTCCGGGTGGCAAATTGTGACAAAACAATACGCTTCAGAGCTGACTTTGATATTTCAAGGTGAGTGTATTTTTGATTTTAATTTTGTTATCGACCCATACTGGTATTTTGAAAGGTTTATAAATCAGGTAAATTTTGTCGTTTGGGGGTTAGAATTTTAAATATCAATTTAGATCCTATGGTCCAGTTGCCCCATAAAATGTTCCATATGGGGTAACTGGGCCACACGTCTTCGGGCAACTGGGCCATAGTGTCCATGGACACTGCAGTTACTCACATGTTCTGAACTCCTTTGCTGATATTGGTTTCTGGTTGTAGAAAATGGTTCGAAATTACCGCCGGAAGACGGAAAAGGGTGCAGATGGTGACAAATATACTAGAGAACAGCTTAATCAAGCCAAAGATGATGTTGTTAATGGGAATGCCACGGTATATGCCGCGTCAAAACGGTACAATATTCCTAGAACCACTTTGCGTCATTACCTTAATGGAACCCGAGGCAAAAAGGGCATTTTGGCCGAAAATGGAAAAGGCGGTGGCGGAAAATTGGCAATAGAATTGCATGTGGAGCAAAAGTTAGCCTCATTACTAAATGAAATGCAAAAATGGGGCTATGGACTTTCCAGAGAGGAGGTTTTAGATCTTGTACAGACCTATACTAAAAGAAATAAAATCAAAACCAGATTTCGCGATGATCGTCCAGGAGAAGAATGGTTTCTTCACTTCTGTAAAAGGCATAAAATGTCGATTAAAAAACCGCAGGCCGTGGAACTTGCTCGCAAGAAATCTGAAAACCCTTGGACCGTGTATGGTTTTTTTGATCTTTTAGAGAAACTTCATTCTCAAATGATCCTTCAAAAACCAAAATTGTTGGTAGAATTGGAACTCCCAGCACGAGAACAATTTCAACGTCGGGCAGAGAGAACACAACAGTTTTGGTATGCTGCTCTGCGGCTGGCCAAAAATTGCCGCTGCTAACAGTGTTTAAAGGGAAGAATATAATTGAGTCTTGGTTGCCCAGCCAACCTGACCCTATTGATAAAACTGCTTATGCTGCAACTAATAAGGGTTGGATGAACTCGGAGCTCTTCCACAAATGGTTTCAGAAGTGTTTCCTACTCCAACGATGTGACGATTTTAAAATTGCCCCCGCATTCTACTCATGTCTTGCAACCTTTAGACGTGGGGGTTTTTAGAAGCATGAAAAACGCTTGGGACAAGGAACTTTGTAAGTGGCAACGAGCTAATCCACGGAAGAAGCTACCAAAGGATAAATTTGTTCAGTTGCTGACTTCAGAATATCAAAAAATGTCAAGTGATATCATTATAAATGGATTTAAAAAAAACTGGTATATATTATGAAGAAGAAAACGGTTCAGACAGAAAACAAATTTCACAAACAATTTTCACGAAAACCGAATTTGAAAAATACAAAAAGCAAAAAGAAGAATCCGAAGCCAAAACAAATATTGAAGATCAAGCAGTTGAAGTCCCACAAGAACAACCGGAAGCTGACGTAGGAATAACATTGGAAACACAAAGCCAGCAATCCATGGCAGAAGACCATCAAACTCAAGAATCAATCTTCCAAAAAAGGGACCAGTTTGATGTACCTCTTCAAAATGTTAAACAATTGAAACAACAAGATATTCCAGGGCCTTCAATTTCAAAGACTGAGGCGATTTTAAATGCAACTGAAGAATCATTTAAAACACTTTTTTTTTAATTTAATAAAAAGCCATAGAGAACGATCGTCTGGATACCCCGGCAAAGAAGAAAAGGAGAATTTGCTCTGGAGCGGAAATTATAACAGCAGCTTATTACATTGTCAAGTCAAGAAAAAGGAAGTTCAAGAGAAGGAGCTAAAAGAAAGGAAAAAAAATGAAAGACAAGAAAAGCGGGTAGAATTAAAAGCAAAGCCTAGGCTTGGAAAGAAACCTGTTCCAAAATCACATAGTAGTAGATCTGAATCTGATGATGAAATCGAGATTCAGGGATCATCGTCAGAAGACGAAATCGTTCAAACAATAGCAGTGGTAGAAGGAGACTTTGTCATTGTAAACTGCGACGGTCAGTATTATCCTGGTGAAGTATTGTCACTCAATGAAAATAAGGTTCAAATCAGTCACATGCAAAAAAGTGGATTATTTGATTTTCGCTGGCCTGCAAAACCCGGAAATCTTTAAAATTATCGGTAAACCTCAGCTGGTGAACAAAAGGGGGTCATATTCCGTTCCAGAAATGGCTAAACTTTGTTCTTACTATAAATAACCATTGTTCTAATTCAATTTCAATTATTCGTTCTTTCATGTAAAAAACTACTTAAATAAACATTTTTATTACTTTTGACATGGTTTCATTACATCTCCTGTAGTTTTGGCATTTATTGAGATAGCACCCTCTAATTTGAACTGACTTGTAGCTTTCATTTTGGAGTATGGCCCAGTTACCTTGAAATATTTGTAGTGCTTTCAAGTTTGACAATACACCAGGGTGGTCCAGTTACCCCAAAATTCCGGGTAACTGGGCCACCATGACCGAAAAAAAATAAATTCTATTCCAAACCAAATATATTTAACCAATGTACCCGTAATAAAGTTTAACTGTTAGTTGAAATGTCCAACAACTTCGAAACCTAGTAGAACCGTACAAAAAATCAGTAGTTGAACTTCTAGAACCATTTAAATTCAGAATGATGTAAAAATACGGCCCAGTTAACCACATCCACCTTATGCTCTAAATTAATTAATTAGATTTAGAAGAAACAGAAAATTAAATAAATATTATTGTGATTTGTGACCTTAAGGACTTTGTAAATATGTAACAGAGGAACGGGGGTGTCTTAAATCCTCAAAAATATGAAACATACGACCCCTTAGCGCGTCCCCTAGGCGTCAAAAACAAAACAAAAATGAGGTGAATACTTGGGTCCCTTTTTTATTTTTTTACGTTTTCTTCGGATCTCCTTCCATTTTCCCATAAATAAACCTTTTGTAAATACCACCTTTCCACACCCTACACAGGTAAATGTCAGAATAAGCATTGAAAAGGTTTTATTATTTTCTAGTGTTTGAAATGTATTTACAAAAATCAAAATATTTAACACCCTGTATCTTGAAAACAAATTTATTTTACACTGTATATTTATTTATAATTTTATGTTTAATTATGAAAAATATTTAAAAATTACTTTAACAAAAAAATGTAATCGTAACCTTTGTGTACTTCTATGCATAACAATATACAACAACTAACTATATGTTCTTTAAAGGTTGATCTTGAAGGCCAAAGGGTAGTTTGGCAAGAAGAGGCGCAAAGGTTGGCAAGACAATTAAAAATTCCGTATATAGAGTGCAGCGCAAAAAGGAAAATGAACGTCGATAACGCGTTTTACGAACTAGTCAGGGTGGTCAGGAAATTCCAGCTTTCGGAAAGGCCACCCCTAAAACCGAATTACATGAAAAGAAACAAGAAAAAATGCTGTGTGCTTTAATTCTAAACAAATTTCATTGTCTGAAACTACACATCACTAGCCTAAATACTTTATTTTTTGTATAATTCCATGTATGCCTAATACCAAATCCCATACTCATTTAATTACATATCTAGGTACCTACCTACTTTAATCTAAAAAAAAAAAATTGCTAAGACTTTTTACCAAAGATTTTTACTCCAAAAAAATATATAGTTTTTTATATAAAGAACACTTTAGACAATAAATATGTAAATTTTGGAGCTAAAATCTTCTATTTTTTGGATTAAAGTAAAAACAAACTCATTGAACCACGACTTTCATGATATTTTTAATTATTACTTACACTTTAAATGTTGTGAAACCCTTAGGGAATTGTGGAATATTGTCGTAAATATTCATTTATTTTATATATTTTTTTTCTACATACTTATATACCCTTATACTATTTTAATATGATGCCATACCTATTTGGCTGGTCCTTATTTAGGCAACGTCGGAAAATCTTAATCTTAATATTTTCTAATTTTAAGAATTTTGGTGAATTAACTCCAAGATTTTTGACAATGCTTATATAAGACCACCTTAATACCTGTAATATTAAGTGCTAAAATCTAAATAAAGTTATTGTTATAGATAGATTTACAAAAAACAGTGTAATTACCCAATGTGTATCAATGCATTTTAATTGTTACATTATATGGGATAAGCATTGCAATGCGTTTAAAAAATAAATAGAATTTAAAACTTATAGGGGCCAAAGTATTTAAAAACTGCCTGTAAGTTTAAATACTCACTTTTAAATGAAGGTGTATATGATATATTTTGTATATAATAAACTATATTTGCAAACAAATAGAGTGAAACATCAATTTTATTTTTATATATATTATATTTTTCTAGACTATAAGTGTAAATGTTATTAAATGATTAATGGCTATTTTTATAAATAATTGTTATAATTTACCATTGTATACATTGTTTTTATCATGTACAGCCATTAGTTGCATATTGTTGTCTATAATTTGTTATGTGGAGTAGAAAATCGCCAACAACTGAAAACGAAACAGAAAAAACGATTTAAAGTAAGAGAATTGCAAAGCAGGTAGCAAGAAACCTGCCGACGCATTTCTGCTATAATATGTTTGTTTTAGAAGACGCTCAGGCAAACAAAGGGACATGTTATAAAGTCGAATTATAAGGGTGACTGATGATGCCTGAAGATTCATATACAAGTTGTAGGATTGCATGAAGCACTCATGCAGAGTTTAATATTTTAGTAGAAATTATTTTATGGTTTCAATAACTTTTATTAGAATCAATGAATACCCAAAAATCGTTTCAATCGTTTGGGCGATATTATAATTCTACATTATATGTACATAATTTACCAACATTACTTGTAGATCTCTTTAAACCTAGAGATCCTAGTCCAAGCATCGAGCTGGATTTTTCTTATACATGATTTCTTTTAAATTCATTATACATGTAATTGCAGTTTCAATAACTCAAAAAGCGAAAACCTGTGAATTTATTTAGGCGGTATAGATTGTTTTAAACTTTTACGAGTAATTTGTTAATTATTAATACATAGATATTAACATTCTAAAATAATTTTTCAAAAGTTAACATTTGCTTTAATTGGTAGCTATCTAAAATCAATATTTATTATTTTTAACCTACATTTCCGAATAAAATAATATAAGTTACTTATTTTTAAAATCGTGTTGTTTAAATTTTTATGGTAAGTAGCTTATTATTGATTCTGCAAACTTTTTATGCACAATTTGTTACACAAACAGATTTAACCTGGTGCTATTTTATCAATAATAAACTGTTTATTGAGCCCCAGTCAATCTTTACACATATTTATTTACACCAAAATTGTTTAATATGGCAATTTATTAACATAATAATAAATGTTTAATGTATTAAAATTGTCTTTAATGAATATTCCCGTCAACAATAAATTAAATAAAAAATTTCTAAAACCTACTGATAATTTACTGAAAGTATTATTTTAGATAAACTTTTTTGTTTAATCAATTCTTACTATTTTTACCAAAAATATTTAAGTAGTACAAATACCCGGACAACAATCGGGATTTCCTGGTGAAGTCATGATGATATCACAACGTGATTTTTTTATCACGCTGTGATATCCTGAGTGCTTACATATGCTTCATCACAGTGATATCATGTAGAACTCACGGTGTAATATTTGCAAAATTTGCGCATGCGTATGAGCCCTGCGAACTGCGAATTTAAAACCTTGTTTGTTATTCACATTAAACCGTTATAATTTATAAATCGTTGTTTGAATATCACAAATGTTGTCCGGGTTCAATTAAAAAAGATATTCCAATGTTTAACAAAACTTGAACGTTCTTGATATTCATACGAACATCATGTCGTGATTTTCACAAATTTTATTCATACTGATATTATACGGAAGTCAGTGTAATAAATGAAAATCATACGAACGTCACGTCGTGATTTTCATAAATTTTATTCATACAGACATCCGGATGTCACCCACTGAGCAAAAAAACGTAAAATATATGTAAAATTAACGTCAAAGGTTGTAGTGTGACGTATAAGAATCTTTTAAAATAAACGTCACATAAACGTCGCTGTGATGTGCCTATGTCCGGATCCTGGGCCGTGAATTAGCCCTAACCGTTAAGTGAATAAGGAGACGTAAAAATTGCGTTTTTAAATGAACATAAAAATAACGTTCTTAAAAGGATGAACTTGTACCACTTTGGAAATATATTTTTTTTATTAAAATAATTATTATTATTATAATTTAAATTATAAAAATAAAACATTATTAGTCTGGTAAAAATAATAAATAAAATAATAAAAGTAAAACATTATATGAGTACCGCCTAATTAATTTTCGGCCTCATTCTCATGTCCAAAAAACGTTATGAGCGTTGCTTGGCGGTTTGGAACAACTCCTTGCTCTCTTTATCGAAATCACTTTCAGTCAGACAAAATAATGTCATACTGGCTTCTAAAACAAACATTAATAACTTAAGTTATCTAAGTAATTATGTATATAAAACTTATATAACTTGCCTGTCGCTCGGAGCAAAATTTGTCTCCAATGTTCACTGGTGTATTAACTGAAAAATCAAATTGATTAAAAGGCTTTTCTTTAAGTCTAAAGCTTGGTTCTAACAAAGAAATAACGTAATATAATTTAATTTAACTTTTAAAGTAATTTAATTTAATTTACTTGCGTTCATACGAAAAGTAACGTAATTTAAAAGTGTTTGAAAATAAAAACAATATTTTAAAGAGATTGCTGACTTCATGTATCTAAAACTTAAAGTTTTAGATTTATATGGCTTACTTTGGTAATTACAATCGAAATATTTATCTTATTATTAACGCTGTGTCTAGTCTCACGCTAGCGTGAACGCAAGTTTATTCTTATTCTCACGCGGTGACGTCACTAAAGGTAACATAACCTAAGATTCTTTCAAGAATCTAATTTGTTCTGTGAATCTAATTTTCGCGGTTTTGAGGTTTTTTAAACGTTGGCGGGTGGTTTGGTTGATTTGTGAAATCTGCCCTGATACAAGTGTACGTAAAATGTATTGCCATGGACAAACCACTGATTTTTTAAAATTATAAATCGCTTACGAATTAACGGCTAAGGATAACAATAACAAGGGTAGTCATGTACAACGCGTCGCTAAGCACTGATTAAGCACCGATTAGGCAAGTTTTCCTTATTGATAACGACTGATAAGGAAAAAAAATCTCAACACAACGTAAACTAACATTGAACGTTCTCTAAGATTTTAAAGTGGTTTACCCCTCGGTTAAAACTACCCTGCTGAAAATGACGGATGATTGCGGATATAAATTCTTCGTCAAAACCGGATAAAAGCAGATGATTGCGGGTATAAATTCTTCGTCGAAGCCGGATAAAAGCAGATAAAAGCGGGTAAAAATATCATCTGATAACATCTGCTTTTGTCCGCATCGCTATATCCGCGAACACCCGGTTGGTTGTGTTTTATGTCCGGTTAGTGCACCCCCGCAATCATCTGCAATCATCTATTTTTAACCGTCTTCACTGTGTTTCGTTTATATCTGAATTTGTCCGGAATCATCTGCAAACGTCTGCTTACGTCTGTTTTTATCCGCGATTACCTGTATTTTTTTTCGTCTATTTTTGAACACCCGGTTGGTTGTGTTTTATGTCCGGTTAGTGCACCCCCGCAATCATCTGAAATCATCTATTTTTAACCGTCTTCACTGTGTTTCGTTTATATCTGAATTTGTCCGGAATCATCTGCAAACGTCTGCTTACGTCTGTTTTTATCCGCGATTACCTGTATTTTTTTTCGTCTATTTTTGTCGGGTTTTATCTGCAAACGTCTGGTTTTATCCGCGAGCATATGCTTTTACGCGCGAACATCTGCTTTCATCCGCGAACATCTCATTTTATCCGCGAACATCTGTTTTTATCCGCAAACATCTGCTTTCATCCGCGAACATCTGCAGTCACCCGCGAACAACTGCTTTTATCCGCGAACATCTGCAATCTCCCGCGAACATCTGCAATCACCCGCAAACATCTACTTTTATCCGCAAACATCTGCTTTTATCCGCGAACATCTGCTTTTATCCGCGAACATCTCATTTTATCCGCGAACATCTGCAATCATCCGCGAACATCTGCTTTTATCCGCAAACATCTCAATTTATCCGCGAACATCTGCTTTTATCCGCAAACATCTGCTTTCATCCCCAAACATTTGCTTTTATCTGCAAACATCTGATTTTATCCGCAAATATCTGCTTTTATCCGCGAACATCTGCTTTTATCCGCAAACATCTGCTTTCATCCCCAAACATTTGCTTTTATCCGCAAACATCTCATTTTATCCGCGAACATCTGGTTTTATACGGTTTCACCCGTAAACATGCTTTTATCTGCGAACGCCATATTTCATCCGGTTAGTGCACCCCCGCAAACATCTGCCTTTATCCGCAAACATTGATTTTATCGGCAAACATCTTTTATCCGCAAACATCTGATTTTACCCACAAACAACTGATTTTATTCGCAAACATCTGATTTTATCCGCAAACATCTGCTTTTATCCGCAAACATCTGTTTTAATCTCCAAACATCTGATTTCATCCGCAAACATCTGCTTTTATCCGCAAACATCTATTTTAATCCGCAAACATCTTATTTTATCCGCAATCATATGCTTTTATCCGCAAACATCTGCTTTTATCGGCAAACATCTGCTTTTATCCGCAAACATCTGATTTTATACACAAACATCTGCTTTTATTCGCAAACATCTGCTTTTATCCGCAAACATCTGATTTTATCTGCAAACATCTGATTTTAATCGCAAACATCTGATTTTATCCGCAAACATCTGCATTTATCCGCAAATATCTGCTTTTATCCGCGAACATCTCGTAACATCTGCTTTTAATTGCAAATCTCTGCTTTCATCCGCGTTCGGTTTGCCTGTATTTCCTTTGTCCATTTCGGTTCTGTTTCGTACACAAACGTCTGGTTTCATTCGCGCTTTTTGTTTTCCTTTTTCTCGTGTATACTTTAGTTAAGTTTACCTGCTACCTGGTTGTTAGCCGTTCACGGCACACAACTTTATAACCCTAAAAAGAATTATTTGAATAAAAACAACCTGTAAAGAAAATAAGTTTATTCAACACGACATTTTCCCAATGGGAAAATAATTAAATTATATTCACCAGATTTAAATTTAAAAATCAGGTATACTACAGTGAAGAGTACCACAGAAATAATAAGTCTATTAATCATTACATATATATTAAAAATATTGGTTATGCCAATATTAAAAAGTTTTATAGTTAGATGAAAAATTCTACGCCTAAATAAGTGTTTTTCAAAC